CTGCATGGGAAAGAATCAGGCAAGCTTCCCGATCTTTTTTTTTTTTTTTTGCTATGGACGAAATTCTAGGGGAGGACGGCAGAGGTGGTTTCCTGGTGCATTCTTCTGATAACGACGACCGGAGCTCGGTGACAATGATGATGTCAGAGTAGCAGCGGCGGTGGGTAGTAGAATTCACCACAACATGTAAATTCGGCGGCGGGATTCAGTGGTTCATTTGGGGTTTAGGTTACAGCTTGGGCTTAGGGGCAAATGCGGCCATTTTTAAAATTTAGGGCGATAAATTTAAATAGTTAGGGCGTCAATTAGTATCTCCCTTATCTTTCTCCTCCTACCCTCCCTCCGCCTTTTCCCCTCATTATCTCTAGCGGTCAAATGGTGGTTTTGTGGAGACCGTTTTGGAGCTGATTTGGGATAGATTACACACTTTTATATCCTTTGACTTGTGTCATTTGACTTGGTTTGCACAGTCTTTGGAGCTATTTTACGCTATATTTGGTATTATTTTGTGTGTTTCGGATCTTAGCAGGTAGAATTGACACCAAGATCGAAAGTCAGACAAAAGAGGGTGAAATGGGAGCAAAATGGGCAAAATTGCAAGGATCACGACCAGGAAGAGATTATCACGGGCAGCAACTGCAAAGTGGACGCTCAAACCGTAAAGACTGCACTGCACACTTCCTGAAGACTTTCTGCAGTTCGCGGTCTGTACGAAGATCACGGTCCCCATAACGTGATGTCAACACTCAAACCGTGAAGTCTGCAATCGTCTAGAGGCCTTCGAGTAGTTCGCTGGCATTGTAATATCACGGTCTCTCAACCGTGAAATCAACAACTAGACCGTCATGTATGATAATGAAACGGCGCGTTTTGAGCTGACTTCACATTTTCATTACATACTTCATGGGCGTGAAGTGAGACCGTGATATGAGCACACACATGCTATATAAAGGAGAGTGAGCTGAAATTGAAGAGAGAGTTCTAGAGAGAGAGAGTTCAAGGGATCTTCTTCAAGCTTATTGAGAGAAAGTTTTGAGCAACGAAGGGAAGAAGGTAAAATTGACCTACCCAAGCCAATTAGTGGGCAGATTTCTCCTCCAATTATCCAGCCAAGCAACTAGAAAGAGGAATAACCACTTTCCCAAGTGCTTTTCTTCCATCTTGGTTGTTATTTCTCTTTTAGCTATGGAGTAGTCCTCCTTTTCACTTTGATGATAAGAGCCCTAGTCTAGGATGTTGCAGGTTGTGATTTGTGAACTATATTGTGATTTATATATTGATTGAGGCATTTTCATGTAAATTGGGTGTTATTTGATCAAATCCACCAATTTTGGGGCAATTGACCTAGGAGGGAGAAGATCCCCTTAGTGCAATTCAGGTTACTCAATCATTGTAGAGTGACATGAATCATTGTGATATATGAAGGCTACCTCGAATAGGGGGTCCTAGCTACTTTACCCTAGATCGTGAAGTACTTAAATGAAACAATGCACTTTTGTTCGAGATCACGATCCGAGCTTCCAGATCACGACCGTGATATGAGACTATGAATTGTGCGCGATCTGGATATAAAAAAGGAGGATGACGCTAAAACTTAGAGAAGGAAGCTTGGTGAGAGATTTTGCCTTCTGTTTCCGATTTTAAAGAGAGAAACTGACAAACCAAGAGAGAAGAAGTGCTCTAGGGTTTGCTCCAAGCTTGAAGATTGGAAATTTTCACCTTCCAAGGGTGATTTCAACAACAAGGAAAGAAGTCACACACCACATCATTGTTCTTCCTCTTCTCTTTGTGTAATCCCTAGTTTAGCTATGGAGTAGTACTCTTTTTCACTTGGGTATTGTAAATCCTAGCTTTAGATATGTGATAGATTGTATGAATTGAATGCTATGTGTGTGGGTTTTGGTTAATGCAAAGTTTGAGGTATTTTAATAATTATTGAATTGTGTTCTTCATTTCTCATTTCCATGTCAATTTGACCTAGAACCCCCTTGTTTGCTGGAGGCTTTGAGAAGCTAGGTTTCTTGACCATTTGAGTCACCCACCTAGGGCAATTTAGGGCAAGCCTCAAGTTTCGATTTAACAATTTGATTGGGTTGGTATTTTGCCGTCCGGATTAAGTTCTGAGGGAGTAGCCTTAGCAACCCTTGGTTGAGAGGCGAAGAGAGCTAATTCTCTAGCTTAATTTGTCATTCCTTGTCCTATTGACTAGGGGTGGGCAACGGGACGGGACGGGATACTCGTCCCGTTTGAAACGGGTACCCAATCCCGTTTGGAGATCAAAGTCCATCCCATGTCCCAACCCGTTTGGATAAACGGGTACCAATTACCCGTACGAGACGGTTAACGGGTACCCATATTACCCATAAATACCCAAAGTTTGAATAAAAAAAAATTTAACAAAAGTTTAAACTTAATTTGTACTTGCTTAACAATCACAAAATCCATCCCAAATTCCCAATCACAAATACTCGGTTTGCAAACTACACATTCATGAACAATCACAACGCATAGAAATAAACATTCCAAGCACCCATAACAACTAAAAAGCTATTGGTTGCTACTATTCTGCTTAAAATAAAAAGCTTCATTCGACAATTTGAACTGGGGAGGCAAGCTGCTGTTCTGCTGCCCACCCTGCTTCTGCAAGCTGCTGCCCACCATCGAGTTGTTGCTGTTCAAGCAGCTACCGCCTGCTGCAAATCAGTAGTTCCATTATCAACAAATTAAAGGGAGAAGCAGAGCACAAAAATTCACCAAGTGTTCTACATAATAACAACACAGTCAAGGGGAAAGCATGGCTGAAAAATCCAGCAAATATCACCCAAAAATCAAAATACAAACACCATGAAAAAACTGAAACAAATCAAAGTGGAGAGGTTCAATCTAGTTCTCCTTCATTTCTGAACTTTCACATCATAGAGTCATAAGTCATCACCTAAGGTATTTCGGCGATTGTAATTGGAGAGGTGAGTTGTCATCGTTCGACTCCTCTGCACGGAAGGAATGATCCTAACACATCCGAATTGAATAGCCAATTCTCTCACATCCAGCTTTGTCATGCAAAATCCCAACAATCAGTGACACATAACCCATTTACTCAATCATAACTTAGATTAAGAAAGGGAAAGAAAAATTAAACCTGAGGGCTACGGCGATTGGAATTGGAACAGTGACTGCTACAGCGAGTCAATGGCAGTGACTGCGTGCGGATGGCTGCTGGGGACTACTGGGCACTGGCTGCGGGGGTGGCGGTGCGCCTGCATGTCATTGCTATCGAGGAGAGGTCGAGAGGAGGACTGGTCGGCTAGTCTGGAGGATTTTGGGAAGGGTTTGGGAATCAGGCCAGAGCGCTGTGCGAATGGCCGAAGGAAGGGTTCTGTGGCTGGGCTGCGCGCATGGGCCGGAAGGAAGATGGGCATGGGCCTGTGTAATTTTTGAATAGGTTAAACGGGTACCCATATTATCCAAACGGGTATTTGCGGGTAACTCGTGGGTACCCATTGTGGAAATGTACAATCCCAAGTCCCGTCCGTTAATAATTTTACGGGTAATATGGGTACCCATAACCCTCAAAAAATGGGACGGGTACGGGTATACCCAAATACCCGTTTCCCGTTGTCCACCCCTACTATCGACTGAGAGAGTCAAGTTTCTTCACTAGTTGCGCTCTCCTCACGATGAATGAGCACATTCCTACACATTGGCATTCTTTATATATAGGGGTAACAATAATCGGGTGAAACTTTCTCATATAGATTCTAAAACCTTTTACCTTCTTGCTTGTTTTAAATTGTAGACCTTAGTTTTCACTAAAAATCGATTACTAGAAAACGTTTTAACTTTTAAACGATTGAAGTATGGGTACATGGACCCGTCCGAATTGACATTTTAAAACACTTATCCTATACAACACCCTACTAGAGTTTATACTTAGGCTCTAGTCGGGATTTTTATCGCGGTAGTTGAAGTGAGTCCGTGACACATCTGGTGAGCAAAAAATCCTTTCATTGTTCTCTAATTTGGTAGGGTACAATTTCTGTTTTTGACTGTGTACAGCTATATGACTCCATGTATCTCTTTATTCTAGATAATACGAGTTTATCTTTCTGAAAAAAAAAATAAAGAATAAAGGTTTGAGCATCTTTAATGGCTAGTTTCTAAAATAAAATTGTATATGCAGCTTGGCGGTGGATGAAATTTTGGGTAATTAGCATAAACGGTAACAAACCTTTGCACTTAGTACAAAATGGTCACAAACCTTTTATTTGTAACAATACGGTAACAAAACTTTGAAATGGTATAAAATGGTCACCGCTATTTAATTTATGACCGTTTTGTTTTAAGTTCAAAGGTTTGTTACCGAATCGTTACAAATTAAATGTTGGTCATGTTTTGAGGTCGGGTAGTTTGTTCGTTAAGTATTTGACACTAACCACTTGAACGACATATAAGATGTCAGGTCATGTGTGCATCGACATATTTGCTTTGCCGAATAAGAATGCCCTCAGTTGACCTTTCAATTTCGATACCAAGAAAGTAAGAAAATAGATATAGTTTTTTCAACTAAAAAGCAGTCTGGAACCCGTTTGTGAGCCATTGAGTTCTCTCATTGTCATCCTAAACAACATAATATCATTCACATACATTAACAAAACCACCATACAACTAGAGTGAATTGTAACGGTGATTGAGCGTTCAAACTTTTGAACTTAATTTGTACAAAACAGTCACCAAAAGTCTAATTTGCAACGACACGGTAACAAAAGTTTGAACTGGTATGAAATGGTCATACTGTTTAATTTGTGATCGTTTTGTTCTAAGTAAAAAAGTTTTGTTATCAAATGGTTACAAATTAAAGGTTTGTGACTGTTTTGTACTAAGTACAAAGGTTTGTGACCATTTATGCTAATTACCCATGAAACTTTTGAATTATGAAATGGACGTCGGCACTAGGTCAAAAAGCGGAGAAAAGAGATTTAAAGCTCACTTCAGAGAGAGACATGGAGCGGGGCAGCGGGACCCATCCCGCGGAAAATAACAGCCCACTGCGCAGTGGGAAGACGGGGAGTGGCAGCAGTGGTGTGTTTTGTAGCAGCGTCCAGGCCAGGCCAAGCTGTCTGCTGCAGGCAAAAACCCACGGCGGCCAACCTGCCCACCCACGTGCTCCGAATCATCACCTCCGCCGCCCGCTCTCCACGAGCTTCTGAGATTTACCACTCAGTGACTCAAATTCCCGAGACACCCACGAAAGCAAGGAGTCATTTTGATAGGTGAAATTAAAAAAAGAATTAGATAGGCACAGACAGACGCCAAGAATCTTTGCAGCGATCAGAGTAGAGTAGAATAATGCACACTCCGGCGCCGCCCAATCGCCGCTGCTGCTTCACGTCTTCTGTTTGTGCTCTCTTCCTCTGCCTATTACTGCTACCGCCCAGAATTTGTTTTGCCGGGGATCCGTATGTCTTCTTTGATTGGACCGTCTCCTACCTCACCGCTTCCCCTCTCGGCGTAAAACAGCAGGTTCCCCACTTCCTTCCTTTCTTCGTCTTTCCCCCGTCTTTTCGTGGGTTTTCTCTAATTTGAACTTGATCCCAGGTCTGGGTGAAGAAATTAAAAATGGGAAATCTCTTTTCATCTGTACAACAGTTCTTAACCTATCTCGTCACTGTAATGCTCTATCATCAGTTGAGTAAACAAATAGTTAGCTGAGCTCTGGGTTTCTGGAATTCAGGTGATTGGCATCAATGGGCAATTCCCTGGGCCGATTCTGAACGTCACTACCAACTGGAACGTTGTTGTCAATGTCAAGAACCATCTCGACGAGCCATTGCTTCTTACTTGGTACTGTTTGCTTTTGTCAACCAGTTTATTCGAAGTTCAAGAGCTGAAGAACAAAACACAAAACCATTTTTGATCCTTTGTTTATTTCCAGGAATGGGATACAGCAGAGGAAGAACTCATGGCAAGACGGTGTTCTGGGGACTAATTGTCCTATCCCTGCTGGTTGGAACTGGACGTATCAGTTTCAGGTGAAGGATCAGATTGGGAGTTTCTTTTACTTCCCTTCCTTGAGTTTTCAGAGAGCTGCTGGAGGTTATGGAGGGATCATTGTGAATAATAGGGAAGTTATTGCCGTGCCATTTGGGTTGCCTGATGGAGATATTAATCTCTTTGTTGGTGACTGGTATACTAAAAGCCACAAGGTTGATGATACTATAATCACATTGTTCTTTTTCCTTATTTTGTTTTTGGTTAAATTTGGTAGCTGATATGATATTTGCGGGGGAAGCAGGATTTAAGGGAAGATATCGAAGATGGGAAGAATCTACAAGTTCCTGATGGTATCCTCATGAACGGGTTTGGTCCGTACAGATATGATGAAGCACTTGTTCAAGACGGCATTACTTACCAGATAATAAGTGTTGAACCTGGTAAGCTACTGGAATCTGCGTTACTGCTCTGTTTTATTGGCATGTTATGTGTTCTTTTGGGAACTTGTAGTCGAGTTAGTGGACTTGGTGGGTGCAAATAAGAGAGCTTAGGGCATTGGCAATTAGGCAACCTTACTAGTCCTGGTTATCATTCTTATTTTTGGTAGAAACTTTGATGATCATTCGCGAGAAAGGTGGTAATTCTTGACCAGATTATATGTGTGCAAAAACAGCTTCCTTAGCCTTGAGAATTGAGATTGAATATTTGAAGGGTAGGTTTGAATTATTTACATATCCAATTTGTGATTGTCGAATGCCGATGGATTATGTTTGTGAATGGTCTGTGAAGCAGGAGCACTTGAATTTACAGTCAGCACTCTTGCTGAATGGTATCTATTACGAAAAGAAAAATCAAAAGAATCACTCTATTGTCATCCTCTTTCATCTTTGGTTTTACTTTGTTGGTCAGACTATAATATGTATTGGTATTTACATGCAATTGATTGCATTTTTTCTTCTTCTTATAACAAGAAAATGCTTGAATTGGTTTTAACACCCTCCATTCTAAATTTCTAAATGTCTTAAAAACAGGAAAGACATATCGATTCCGAGTGCACAATGTGGGGATATCAACCAGCTTGAATTTCAGAATACAAAATCATAACTTGCTTCTGGTGGAGACTGAGGGATCATATACAGTTCAGCAGAACTATACAAACATGGATATTCATGTGGGTCAGTCATATTCATTCTTAGTGACCATGGATCAGAATGCGAGCAGTGATTACTACATAGTTGCCAGTCCTCGAGATGTAAACTTATCCACATGGAACAAAGCTTCTGGTGTTGCCATCCTGCATTATTCCAATTCGCAGGGACCTGCTTCAGGTCCTCTCCCTGATCCTCCTAATGCATACGATACGTTTTTCTCAATGAATCAAGCAAGATCCATAAGGTTGTAGTTAAAAAGTAATGATAATTCTTAGCCTCCATTTTCAGCAATTCCATTTTTTTTATTTTCCCTTTGTGAGATTCCTGAAATTCTATATATTTTTATTACTTCTGAACAAGCTTCACTTCTTCAACTTGACCAAATTCTGTGTGCTGCCATATTTTGCAGATCAAATGTTTCAGCTGGTGCTGCACGCCCAAATCCACAGGGCTCTTTCAAATACGGAGAGATCACCGTGACAGATGTATATGTAATCACCAATAGACCTGCGGAAATGATAGATGGGAAATGGCTGACAACCCTCAATGGCATCTCGTACTTACAACCTTCAACTCCTTTGAAGCTCGCTCATGAATACAGTGTTCCCGGTGTCTATAAGCTTGATTTCCCGAATAAAATGATGAATCGACCTTCAAAGATGGATACTTCTCTGATAAATGGTACTTTCAAAGGGTTTACTGAGATCATATTCCAGAACAACGATACCACTGTCCAGAGCTATCATATGGATGGATATGCTTTCTTTGTTGTTGGGTGAGCTTTTTTTTGTTGTCGTTGTTGTGTGTTTATCCTGAATTCAATCTGGATTACGAAACACATTCCCTGAGAGTTAACTCTCCTCACTGCAGCATGGATTATGGAGTGTGGACAGAGAATAGCAGAGGCACATACAACAAATGGGATGGGGTTGCTCGTAGCACGATACAGGTACTTCTGTCCTAATCTGGAACAATGCTACAATGATAGTTTACCTATTTCCAAAGAAGTCATTCCAAGTGAGTTTCGATTTAACTTCCCCAAGTCTCTCCATTACAGGTATTTCCAGGAGCTTGGACTGCTGTACTGGTTTACCTAGACAATGCCGGGATATGGAATCTTCGAGCACAGAATCTCGACTCATGGTATCTAGGACAGGAAGTCTATGTAAGTGTAGTAAACCCAGAGGTTGACAAAGGCGAGTATGGTCTTCCGGATAACACCATATACTGTGGCTTACTCTCACCATTGCAAAAGTAAGTTCTTTGACCCGTACACATGCTACCATTAGTTTGTCATAGACAAACTTATCACTATTATTTCACTATTCAGCTCAAATGTCGGATGCTTTTGTTGCTACTTAGTTAACCTTGCTGAACCTCTTACTATGTGTATTCGGCTGGGTATCTGCAGGGATCAAGCTCAAAGATACAAGTTTTCGGCAGCATCATCAGTTTCTAGAGAGAGCAAACGAATTTTGGTTGCACTAATTTTGGTGGCTGTCTGTGGAATGGTTCTAAGCAGGTAGCAGTAGATTGCTTAGCTGAATGGTGTGGAACAATTTGGTTATGCAGGTAGATTGAGATACATAACGGGGTGATTTTTGTAATGTAAAATGTTTGCGCTAGAGTTAATCTTTAACATGTATTACTGCTTGGAAACAATTTGGTTTATGTTTGTAAGTTGATTGATTAGTGAGATCTTGCATGATGCTTCTGGTTCTTCCAGGAGGTAATCTCTAAGTGCAAGGTGTGGTAAATAGTTACTCCACAGAAGAAATTTATGAACGTATAAAAAATGGGATTTCGGGGAATTAGATCTTGCCAAACGGTATCGGCCCTCTGAAACTCACTTCCTAGTTCCGAGCTCCTTGCCGTCCATCATCTTTCCTCTCCCTACGGCTGTAAATATAGAAAAGGCGTTTTTGTAAACTTTGTATAAACTGTAAATACAGAACAGTGTCATCGTTTTGGGTGGTCCTGTCAGTTCTTGTCCTGATTTTAGCAATGAGTTTGTGGCGAAGAAAGTTACTAAGAGCATCTCCAATGGTGCAAATGGAGGAAATTGCAAGCTGAGGTGGCAGCCATGTGCAATTGAAAAAGTGGATGACATTGATGCAAGACCACTTTCAAGGGATGAAAATTTGCACACCATGAAAATCTGACATGCAATTGCAAGTGGGTCCTTTGTTTGTTTTTGTTTTTCTTTCTTCTTTTCCCAACCATTTGTGTGGTATTAAAATGTAAGTGGGACCCAGAAGTGCAATTGCATTGGAATGGCATTGATGTAGCTAGTATGAAATTGATGAGTGAAGTAATTGCTAGAGTTGCTTAGGTGGCAGTAGGGTCCACACTTGAAAGTGAAGAAGAATTGCATTGTTGGAGATGCTCTAAGACCATTCACATCCATGAAATACCATTTCTATTTCATATGTGGCTCCTACTGCCACCTCAACAATTTTTTCCATTCCACTACATATCACTTTCATTCTCTCTACATCCATGAAATCCACTATCTATTTCATATGACGGGTCCACCTTACTTTTTAATACACTACACATTTTTATTATTTGTTATTAAAAGTATAATTTCAAGACAAAATGGAAATGAAAAAAATATAGGTGTGACATCTTTATATTTATATAAGCGTACATTAAACTTGTTTCGTATTACACTTTCAGAATCTACAAAATTAATTAATCCAAACTTAATGAAGTTTTTAATCTATTAAGTTTGTTTATCTTAAACAAATGATAATTTGAAAAAAAAAAGGAAATGAAAAAATACATCACGTATACAAACATAAAATAGGCCTTCCATTTTTATCATTTGTTATTAAAAGTATAATTTCAAAACAAAATGAAAATGAAAAAAAAAACATCAAATGTGGGATGGAGCCCACTCTCCACCCACTTGCTTTTCCATTTGCTATTTCACTAAGTGGAAGATCCCACTTTTTGAAATAGGCACTACAAGTCTACAACCATGGATGAGGCAAATGGTATGCCACGTCAGAATGAAATGGGTTCTTTGGAAGCCGTTGCAGGTGCTCTAAGACCATTGAGCTGATGGACTTGGTTGCTAGTATTGATGACCCACAGTGTGAGTTGTTTTTGCTTCGGGCCTGTACTGGTCTTCTAAACTCTACTTTGCTTTACGTACTTGCTCCCCTCGTATTTTTGGGCCGGTCCAGCTATCTTTTGACACAACACTTCGGTCTAGTTTAGAACGTATTGTCACTGCTTCTAGACTCGGTTTTGGTAATTGGCAGTGGCGGCTTGCCACCTTCCCTTTTCATTTGGGCGGCTTAGGGTTTATGCTGCTGGAGATGTCTTGCATTATGCTTTTTTGGCGTCTCGTTTGCAGTCTATGGAGTTGCAAGCTAAACTCCTAAGTCCTTCTGGTATTCTATCTCTTGGCACTGCTTTTGATGACGCCCTCGTATTTGTGGGCCAGCCCAGCTATCTTTTGACACAACACTTCGGTCTAGTTTAGAGCGTATTGTCACTGCTTCTGGACCCGGTTTTGGTAATTGGTAGTGGGGGCTTGCCACTTTCCCTTTTCATTTGGGCGGCTTGGGGTTTATGCTGATGGAGATGTCTTGCATTATGCTTTTTTGGCGTCTCGTTTGCAGTCTGCGAAGTTGCAAGCTAAACTCATAAGTCCTTCTGGTATTCTATCTCTTGGCACGACTTTTGATGACGCCCTACGCACCTTTAACGAGTTTAGAGGTTCTGATCTCTTACATGACTCTAGTGGAGTTGTTGTCCCAAAACTTATGAAGAAATTGGCAGATATATATTTCGTGAAGGTTGTTACTACTTCAGGTTCTGTTTTCTCGTTGACTACGCGTCATGTGGCTTTGTGGAAGTCCCAGCAGAGTGCACACTCTTCTGATTGGTTGCGTGTTGTTCCTATTGCTGGGTTGGGTCAGACTATGAATGGGAGAACATATCGTAGTGTGTTTAGCTATCGACTGGGTGTCCCGTTGTTTTCGGTATCTAAGCCCTGTCCTGCTTGTTCTCGTGTCTTTCCTGGTGATGTCTTTGGGGATCATGTTGTGTCCTGTGTTGGTTCTGTGGGCATTAACCATCGGCACAACCTCGTTCGTGACACCTTATTGGACATTTGTTACAGGTCATGAATTTCTGCAGGTAGGGAGGTTGATATCGGTTTGGTTGATGGACATGGCGGACCCCTTCATCCTGCGGATTTGCTACTTTATTCCTGGGACAGGGGCGAGATGTGTGTGTAGATTTGACTGGATCTTCACCTCTGACTCAAACTGAGATGACTGGTTTTGTGCCTGGCCGAGTTATTGCTGATACTGCTCAAGGAAAGTGTGCCAAGTACCGAGACTTGTGTATGGCGGCTGGTTACGGTTTCCTGCCCTTTTCTTTTTCTTCGCTGAGAGAGTTGGATACCAATGTCGTGGCTTTGCTCAAGAGGATCCAGAAATTCTCCATGTCTCAGGATGCAGGGGCTCGAGTGGCCGCGTACATTTTTACTAGACTTTGTTTTTCTATAGCTAAGGGAGTGGGGGCCCAGATTGTATCTCGGCTACCCACTATTTTTTTTGTAGACAATTGTTTGTTCTGTTTCCACTCATATCGATAATAAAACTGCGCATTAACACAATTGCATGGCGAAGGGTTCTCTGGTGTGATTGGTGGGTTTGATTATCACTAACCAAGGTTGTCAACCTGGGTTGGCCCGTTGACCCGGTCGAACATGTGGAATAATGGGCTAACCGGATTAGCCCGATATTATATATTTAAGAATTATAAATACACAATATAATAATTTGATATTTGAATGACAATGATTAGAAATACACCATTTTTTTAGACTTTTTTGACTTACATATGAAATTGCATTTGTTGCAAGTTTGCAAATATGCAATTGGTAGCCACATCAATGCAATTGGTTTTGCAATTGCAAACACCTATGTCATATTTTTTGCAATTGAGAATGCAATACCAATGTGGACGCTCTAACACATAAATGACCCCCCTCCCCTCGAAGATAGAATCATGTGTTCCTTCGGGTTTGACTTGGACGTCGCTTACACAACAACAAAGATAGATATGAGGTGGGAGTTGAACATATGGACCATGTCGATGATGTTTGCATGGTGTAACAGATGGTGGAGGACCTCACTGTTGTCGACGTGGAGGAGCTCATCAACCAAGACTATCCCGCAAATGGCGACAAGACTGACAAAGACGACGATGGCTTCAGCGTGGAGGACGATGTCGATTTCGTGCCTCATCTTATTAAGCAGGTTGAAGAGGAGGAAGATGGCACTAAGAATCTCGCCGACGTAACCAATCTCGGTAAGGTTACTGAGTGATGTTACAACTTCCGATGGATTGGTAGTGTTAGTTGAGTGGTACACATAATGCTATCATTCGGGGGGTATTGTGGTATTGATAGTAGTACATGTCTAGTGGTAGGCTCATAACGATACAAATTACATTGTGGTATTATTTTGCTAGTGATAGTTTATGCCTAGTGGTAGTAAAAGATTGATACATTAACCTAGTGGTAGTAACTTACTGGTACAAGGTTCCTAGTGGCATTACTCTCCATGATTACGCTCGCAAGTTCCAACCAATCAACCTAGTACATAAACATGTTAGTTAGAACATCTCTATTTGACTAAGACTAAATAGGCAAAAGTTAGATGCATGTTGATCAACGAACCAATCATGACACCATGTTTAGTTACCCATCTTTTGGTGAACTTACGGTACCAAATCGTGTACTCGTCTTCGTACCCATTAGCCTCATCACTGAGGTGCCATCAACAATATGCCTCGCTCGATTCTCCCATATACTAATCCAAATTTTGTGCTTTTTTACCCAATTGGTGATACTACCCCGCAAATCCTGGATGTATTTGTGGAGGTCTTTTAGCCCCTCTAGTGGTGGTGCAGAAATTGGTTGCTGACACTGATATTGCCAGACACAAATATCTGGAAGGTTCACCTCGATGATGTTAAAGCAAATGAGGGGTACCATGCATGACCAATATTGTTGGTCCTCGGGGTACCGCAATCCGTGCATCATCAACGCTCTGGGAGGATATCGATCCCAATTCATTTATAAAGAAAATGCAATGATGTTTAATTAGAGTACATATCGAAATCAACAAGTTCATATAAAAGCAATTTTGCTACAAGGGAGAGGAAGGCGCTCAAAGGCTTCAATTTCACCTCCTCCGTCCATTTTCCAATGGGGATTTCGTCGGGAGAATTATGGAATCTCTGGTCGCCAGGAAGAAGAATGGGATATCCAAAAGTAGATACCATTTGACTCTCATATGGCGGCTTCGATATCGCGGTGGTGACCTCCAATATGATTTGGTTGAGTCCTTATCTCTGCTTGTTCTTTCGATCATCCTAAATTATTTCAGCCCTCTGACACAGAGCTCCCGCAAGCGCTCGATGGGTCTTCTTCTCCGGCAGGTGCTCACCTGCGCGAGGCAGCGACTGCAGTAATTTCAGGAGAGTGAATGGGGAAAAGGAGAGTGAAAGGGGAAAAGGAATGAAAGAGAAGAGGATATGTACGCGAAAAAAGGGTGGTATAGGTCAGGTGTGGCCGTTTGAATATAAGTTCATTGATGTAAAGATATTATAAAATAATCAACGACCCATGAGCTTACCTAAACACCACCGCAAAGAATCATCAAACCTCTTCGTGACCAGTGCAACACGATTTTTTCATAATGAACCGTAAATCTCTATTTTTATTTTTTGGTAAGTTTTGGTTACTTGTGTTTAATAATTCTAATAATTGTTACAAAAAAAATAATTCTAATAATAATAATTGTGTCCAACTTATTAATTAAGGTTTGTCAACAACCCTCAAGAGTGGGCCAGCCCCTATACTGATGACAAAAGTTCGACTCCACCATGATGGAAAGTTTTCATTTTTTTTGGGTAGAAAAGTTTTCATCTTTGATGTTAAGGGCACCATTTAGAATCCTTAAGAGAAGATCAATCTCATGAAAAAAATGTTTATTCCTTTGTTATTCTGCCCTCTATTCTTGTTCAGAAGTCATCAATTGATTCCAAGTTCCAAGCAATCCAAAATTTGACCCCTTCCTACTCCCATAAACCATAACAACAAAACAAACACATGTGTTAGTGACTCAAGAAACATGTTCCGATTAAAAGTTGTGTCCAATATGATTTCAGGAGCAACATTTCGCCAAACGAAACAACATGTTTGACGTGGAACGGCTTCATTCTGGAGATATTTATTTATTATTTATCATTACAGGAAGATCGTCTTTCCTCCTATCTTTGTCACTGAATTACGGAGCAAGGTGCCGCCACCAATCCATACACTAGTTACTATTGGTTGTCTTCTCCGTCGATTCAGTCCTTTATTTTAACTTCTCCCCACGGTACTGCTTTTCCATCGATCTTTCTCATATGTTATCTTGGCTTGTAAGCAAATTTTCTTTTTTTTTCTTCTTTTTCCTAAGAAAAACAAAATGGGAAAACTGGAAGAAAATACAAACCCAATGGAATATATAAATACCCTGATAATGGGGACCCGAGCCCTTGGATAGTGCGCCTCACTTCAACCAATTTCTTGCTTTGTAGAAAGCCCCATCTGTTTCAATTCAAAAAAAAAAAAAAATGGCTATCATCTGGTACAGGGTAGGCTTTATCTTGCTAAGCTTTGCAGTGCTAGTGGCGCACTCTGCTCCTCAAAATGCTCTCGTGAGTCAGCTTCCCGGCTACTCTGGCTCTTTCCCTTCCAAGCACTACTCCGGGTATGTTCTCCTTCCACAGGTGGTTTTTGCTAGTCTCAGTTGGTTTTATGTTCTCTGTACTGGGTTTCTTAGGTCCCTGGAATTCTGGAAATGGGGTGCTTAGAAATGGGGTTATGCTGTTTGTGTTCTTGTTCGATTGGGAGTAATGGGCTTTTCTCTGTTTTTGGTCTTTTCTGGGTTTGGCTTTTGAAAGGTATGTGACGATTAATGAAGCGACAGGGAAGAAATTGTTCTACTATTTGGTCGAATCGGAAGGGAACCCATCAAAGGATCCTCTGGTTCTTTGGCTCAATGGTGGCCCTGGATGCTCCAGCTTCGATGGATTTGTGTATGAACATGGTATGGTCAATCCCAATTGTATACGAGTGATTCTTTAAGACATTTAGTGCAGCTTGATTATAGTTGAAACAGTGATCTGTCAGAACTCAGAAGTAATTGTCACAGGAGTTTTTGTTCTGTTCTTTGTTTCTAAAACGAGAATGGGCCTGAAGATTGCTTGTTAAATTGACTGTATACCTGAGAGATACGTCTATATGCACTGTGCAGGTCCTTTCAATTTCGAAAAGACAAAGCAAGGTCTACCCAAGTTGCATCTGAACCCATACAGTTGGTCCAAGGTTTACTTATCTTTTCCGTTTTGACCTTGAAGGCTTTTTTGGTAACGTTAAGAGTTGATAATTTGCAGTGCTAGGAGTTGAATATTTTTCTCTTCCCCTTATTTGGGATCTTTTGGGTTATAGGTTTCAAGTGTTCTCTACGTGGACTCTCCAGCTGGTGTTGGACTTTCTTATGCCGATGACACATCAGAATACATAACTGGTGATCTAAAGACTGCAACAGACTCACATGACTTTGTCTTGAAGGTATTAAAAAAGATTGAAATTTTTGTTATTGAAGATCATAATTCTGTTTCTGTGCTATGGCATCGTAAATGTGCTAATTTCTGCAACACAGTGGTTTGAGCTATATCCGGAATTCCTTTCAAACCCTTTTTTCATTGCTGGAGAGTCATATGCTGGAGTTTACGTCCCTACTCTTGCCAATGAAGTTGCAAAAGGTAGTGTCTTTCTTTTCTCTACCTGTTATAACCATCCATATTTTCTGGCAATAAATCTAAGATGGGGTTTTGGATCTCATTTCAGGAATTGATGCTGGTGTGAAGCCTGTTATCAATCTGAAGGTACCAAAACTATAGAAATCGTCTCTTTTCGAGGCTTAGCTCGAACTGAATTCATTCATCATGCCAAGTAAAAATCCCTCGTAGGCCACAGATGTAAAAAAAGAAATAAGCATTTCATTGTGTGCAGGGTTATATGGTTGGAAATGGAGTCACCGATGAAGCATTTGATGGCAATGCACTTGTTCCGTTTGCTCATGGGATGGGCCTTATCTCAGATGACCTTTATCAGGTGTGTGTACTTCTCTATTTAGTACCAATGACAAAAATTGTTGCTTAGCTGTTTGGATGTGTAAAGTTTTGGTGTGTAAGTTATGGATGGTGGATTTTATGAGGTTCTAATTTAGGGGGTCTTTTATATGGGTTTGATGAGTAGCTAGTATATGATTTAAAATGATGCGTTGCTAAATTTAACGAACGGGTTGGAATTTCTAACCAACCAATCAAAATCATTTAAAAGATTTTGGATGAACCGGTACAAAACGAGTAAGGATGTTTCATTCACTGTTCTGAATTGCCTTTCTTGTTAAAGGCGTTAAAGGCTTCCATGGTTCTGATAGGTTCTATATAATGCTCTGCAGGAGACTACCCGAGAGTGCAATGGAAATTTCTATAATCCACTCGAGAGATCTTGTGAGGAGAAACTGCAAGAAGTTGATAGGGTAACAGCCAAGCTTATTATTCTGAAGCAGGTCGAATATTATTCTCATTACATTCCAGCATCTTCAAAATGATTGTTCTATTTTGACAGGAAGTTGACGGTCTAAACATATACGACATCCTAGAACCGTGCTATCATGACAGCGCTGCTAAAGATGCAACAGATATCAAAATCAGACTGCCCTCCAGTTTCTTGGAATTAGGTGCAACAGAACGGCCTCTCCCTGTCCGGACAAGGCTGTTTGGCCGTGCTTGGCCACTTCGTGCTAATGTTAGAGAAGGAATTGTTCCAACTTGGCCAGAGCTCCTTAGCAGCAGTGACGTCCCTTGCACTGTAAGGAATAGTAGTTAGTGATCTCCCCCTTTTCTCGTTCTTGCCTGCAGCATTTTGTGGTTTTATGTGAGATGACATTATATGTATCCCGTTTCAGGATGATGAAGTTGCTACTGAATGGCTCAACAACGAAGCAGTTAGGGCAGCAATCAATGCTGAACCAGTATGCTGTCCTCTCTTAATGCTCAATGTCCTTTAAGACGTAACATTTTTCATCCCATTTGATGGATGTGGCGCTTTTTTTGGTGATGGCAGAAAAATGTATCTGGGGATTGGGAGCTGTGTACTAATAGAATCCGTTTCAGCCATGACGCTGGCAGCATGATGAAATACCACAGGAACCTGACGATGAAAGGATATAGGGCACTCATTTTCAGGTAGTTTATCAGATTGGCAGCTGTTGTTCCGCGTAACCAGGTTGGGTTTTTCATATTCTTTCAAAGTAGCATTTAGTTCAATGTGATGGATTCTTGTTTCTGTGTGTTTGGCCGTAAAAAAAACCCAGTGGGGATCACGACATGTGTGTTCCGTTCACTGGGAGTGAAGCATGGACGAGAGCAATGGGATACAAGATCGTCGACAAATGGAGACCTTGGATTTCAAATGGAGAAGTTGCTGGGTATGAATATATGCAGTTTCTTCCCATCATTAAACTTTTGTTCTGCATGTGTTCAATCCTGAAAAGAGTGTGAGTTGATGTTTGCAGGTACACTCAAGGATATGAGAACAACCTCACCTTCTTAACCATCAAGGTATTGTGGGAATGAATGAAACAAAATTATACGCGTCTTCCTTGAAACTTTCCGTTAATCTAACTAATTTGTGTTGGATTTTCGTGCCTCGCAGGGCGCTGGTCATACTGTTCCAGAATACAAACCAACAGAAGCACTTAACTTCTACAGCCGGTTTCTTGCTGGAAAAGCAATATGATACAGGAAAGAAAGATCCGTAGAAATGCTTCCACGTTTATGTTTATGTTTATGGGGGGCTTTCATGTGGATGTGCGGGAAGGCAAATAGAAGGCAGTCGGTTTGCTGCTGCTGATTCTTTGGCCCCCTGTGTTTAAAACTGTAACATTATTATGACTATCAAATAAGAAATAGCGTTGACTACGCTACCGTTATTTAAGACAGTAAGCAGAAATGAAAACAGAACTTCACCAACTTCTCAAGAGATTTCCTATTTTCCTTTTGTATTTTGGGTGCCCCGAACTCAATTTAACTAGCACACAACTTACATAAATTATAAAATACATAAACATGAACTTACACCTTTTGGAAAGACACAACAAAACGTAGATTTCCACCTGAAGAGGAAATATGGTGGGAGAGTGTTTTCTGAGTGACCGTCTAATACTTACATAAGATATCATGAGCATAAACTTCCACCTTGTGAGAAGTAAGGTAGTCACATGTTGCTAGTCAAACGAGGGTTAAAAACGTGTTCTTACCTGATAAATTTGGTAACTTAAAATATAAGTACATAAACTTGCTTAAAACCTAACTTGTATTTGCTTGGGTTAAAACATAATCTTATAATATAATACAATGCCATACTTACTAAACTTAAAAGGAGGGAATATAAAATAAACCTAACATTGAACATAAATATAAAGCTTACCAAATTGATTCTGGTATAATTGCACATATTATAACCTCATTGTGATGGTTGTGGCATTTGTGTTGCCCAAGGAGCAAATTTACATTAGGTTTGTACATGTTTTAGAATGTTTCAGATTTCAGCAGATGGAATTGGCTCTGGGATCGAAAGTCGAACAAAAGAGGGCGAATATGGAGCAAAAAGGCAGAGATCACACGTCATGGTTAGCCGACTGTGAAGATGGAGTCCAGACCGTGACAATAGACAACTGTTAGGAGATTTCTTATGGCTCGTGGCCGTGGGCAAGTCAGATATCACGATCACCAGACTGACAATTTTCATCCACCCGTGAAGTCTATTTATGAAACACTGCGTTTCTAGTTGAGACTACGGGCATGCCTTCGACATCACGTGTGTTATAATTGACCGTGAAAACTGCCCGACTGGAGTATATAAAGAGTAGAGAGCTAAAACCTAAATGAGAGTTCTAGACTGATATTTGGGTCTTCTTCTTCAAGTAGAGAGAGAAAGTGACGAGCTAAGAAGAGGAAGAAGAAGGTTTTGGCTTACCCAAGGCTAGAGGGTGGAAGATTTCTTCTCCGAAGGGTGATTCAAGCAACAAGAAGGAAGGATAATCATCTCACCATGGATTCTTCTTCCATCCTTGTTGTATTTCTCTTCCTAGCTATGGAGTAGTCTCCAAAGGGTGATTCAACTTGATTCTTGTATCATTGATGCGATATACCATCGATTATGGCTCAAGAGGCCCGCACTTAATCATGTGCTATCCTAATTTCCTTGTTCTTTATTAATTAGATGATGACATGAAGCTAAAGCTTACATTAGCTAGTCAAGTTCCTATTGCATATGGCGAAAGCTCGAGTAGGATGGCCTTAAAGAAGGATAGGGCATCATAACAGATGATGCATAGAAGCATCTCATTGATGAGTTAGTATGCATGATCATCTAGACATCACTACCTAAACATTACTTTCCCTAGCACTCAATTGCATTGTTTCTTTCTTTCTTGCATTAGTAGATTAAGAACTCGACATACTAAGGGTACCTCAACCCATCTTGTTTTACTTTTCTTGTTTCATCACTCGAGCATATTTGGTTAGGTTTGAGTATTTACCATCAAAAGACCTCGTGGAATACAACCCTAGGATGATCATGCATACATTCTCATTAAAAAGATGTGCCTATGCATCAATCTATTATAATGTCTTATCCCTTGCAACTAGGCATACATACACGAGGCAATAGCACAGCACATAATAACAGTTTCCTAGCAACTTATCATGACATTACAAACAATACCATAGTAACACATAATAGATTATATAAGCATAGAAAGATTAAGGCATTAAATGACTAAGGCATTCGAATAATATAAGCATCCCATGACTAAAGCATCTAATGATATAGACAAAAAATGACCTAAGTAACTCATTAGATAATAGAAAGTAGATGCACCAAGCATCATAGAATCCACATTCCTAAACAATACAAACTTAGCCAACTAGAAGAGATAAAGAAGACAACACCATAAATGACGAAGCCATCTGTCAAATCGGGGAGCTCAATTAGTACGATATTGTCCGCTTTGGGCCAAGCCCGCACGGTTTTACTCTTGGGTGTCCTCCCCAAAAGGCCTCGTACTAATTAGCTTGGTGGACACTTATATACAAGAATTCCTTTCCTTGTACAACCGATGTGGTACTTGGATTGTCCCATAACAATCCTCCCCTCAAGCCAAGGACCACGGATTTCGTGTCCTCACCTCAGCGATTATCTTGATCCGTCAGACACCTTGTATCGATGGGCTTCTCGTTACAAGGATTTTTCCAGACGCGGAACTCTCTTTGATCCGCCAAACAGACGTGGATCTCTCCTGGATCCACCAAACAGCCCAGACGCAGAACTCTCTTTGATCTGCCAAACGAACGCGGATCACAAATCCCGAGGCCACCGAATGAGGGTCCACCAAACTGACGTCCACCGCCCCGGATCCGCCGAACCAGGCTCTGATACCACTTGTCAAATCGGGGAGCTCAATTAGTACGATATTGTCCGCTTTGGGCCAAGCCCGCACGGTTTTACTCTTGGGTGTCCTCCCCAAAAGGCCTCGTACTAATGAGCTTGGTGGACACTTATATACAAGAATTCCTTTCCTTGTACAACCGATGTGGTACTTGGATTGTCCCATAACACCATCAATGGCGAAAACTTCTTCGTCTTGCTCCAACAGAACTTTGTCTAATTTTTGTATGTGTAAGTGTGTCTAACAACTATAGCCTAAACCTCTATTTACAGTACATGGAAGAAGTTATATGCTAGATATTTTCCTCCATAAACTCGGCCTCTAGCCTCCTTGGACGAGTGGTCTCGAATTTCTTGAAAATAATAAAAGGAATCCTAGGAGCTACTAAACACAACTTCAAGTGATTAACAAGCAATTCCAAATTATTATAAAAACTATGCGAAACCTGCCATAAACAAACGACCTAGCAAACTCATTTTTGCCCATTACATTCCAGATTGTACATCATTAGTGGAAAAAACTATGACAATCTCATCAACACAAATGTACAAACTCATATTTCAGTTTTAATTATCCTAGATAAGATTTTAGTCGCTACAAATGTACAATCTCATCAACACAAATTTGAAATGTCTCTATCTTACGTCTACTAAGTTGTCAAACCGATTTATATCGTTGCGCCGGTTTAACCAGCAGAATGGTACTACCAGTGGTACAATCGGTTGTGTCGGTTCATGCTGGCTTAATAAAATATGACATTCCAAATAAAATAACAAATACTCATATTTAAATACAATATTTAACGTCAATATCTAAACAATTATACCTGAAGCCAACAAATTACATCAATATCTAAACATTGATAAAAACATATAATAAAATCATTTTTTATCAATCAAATTTACTAAAATGACATCATTAATCATTTTACTTAGAGTTTATAAATCGATCATGTCAATCACACTAATAATATTTATGTCGATTTCATAACTGACACAATTTATACCAAGTTCAACCAACCCACATGTCACCAACACGACATCCATGTCGCCAAGCCGCCAACAGCCAGCCCGTTACTATTAATTTTGGACCAAGTCCCAAAACCGGTTACAAGGCTTCAAGACCCAAAGGCCAAAACAGAAAATAAGCAACCCGCCGTATAGTGCTCGGCTGGGGAACTCATCACCAGCGCGCAAAGTTCGGGGAAGATAGAAATGGTTGCCCTGCCTCCGCCGCTGCGCCGGCGATTCTTCTGCACCCAGGCCGCTAAAGCCTCCCGCAACCACCTTTCATGGACCGTCAAGCAAGTGAAGAAGTCCAATTTCACGGCCGATATCGTCGAGGAAATAAAAACCCAAGTATCCGCCTCCGACTTCGTCGCCGTTTCCCTGCAGAAGACCGGCTCCTTCTCCGCCCCTTGGCACCGCCCTTCTCCATTCGACACCCCTGACATCGCTTACTTGAAAGCCAAGTACGCCGCCGACCGCTTCCAGGTTCTTCAGCTGGCTATTTGCCCCTTCAGCATTCGGGTGCCTACAGTCACTGCCTACCCGTAAGTTCAGCTACCATTCCCCCCATTGTTGTGTTTGGTTCCCTAGAATCTGGCAGAAATTTGGAACCCTCTTTTTGAGGGTAGTCGATTGTGATGCAGGTATAACTTTCACTTGTTCCCGAGGGATGAAATGAAGACTGGGATGCCATCGTACAGTTTCTCTTGTCAATCGTCGAGTTTGGTTGCCATGGCTCACGACGGTTTCGATTTTAATGCTTGCATCAATGATGGTAAATATACTTACAGTCTCCCTAGCTAGTTCCTATTGTCAAATTGCTTATCGATTGAGATTTTTCTGCTTGCTTGTTTCATGGTCATGACATCTTCAACAGGGATTTCGTACTTGTCCAGGGAGCAGGAGTCTGTGGTGAAAACTCGGTCGGAGAGGCCGAGGCCCGTCAGTGACTTGGGGGAAACTGCTTCTCCTCTCTCTGTTGCAGATTCGATTTTCGTTGAGAGGGTAAAATCTCGTGTGAAGCATTGGAAGAATGCATGTCAAGACTCTGGTAGCAACACAAAAGGTGGTACTTATTAGAATGATGTCTCCACTTGGCTATGGTTTGCTTTTGTTTTTTTGGCTCTCCCATCCTGTTTGTTTGTTCTAATACGTTTTCCATTGCTTGTTATTTGCAGATGAGTCTCTGGTGAAAGCCTTGAGAAGGCTCATCGTGACAACCGAACAGTTTGAATCAAGACCGTGCATGAACATTGATGTTTGCAGTGACCGCCAAGCACATCTTGTGGTTAAGGTAGTAGTTCTTCTGTTGAGAAGCTCTTGACCTTGGTCCATAGTGAAGCATGACCAGATGTAATGTTATTGACTGTACAAGGAAAGCTGTTTGAACCAAAAAAGTAGCTGTGTCAATGACCTTTGGTACTTGTAATATGTTGGCTACAGATGTTGCAAAAGTTTGATGAAAACCTTGTCCCGTTAATGGTTCCAGCAAAGGGGGGAGGAACTCAGGCAGTCCGTGTTGTCTCAACAACTTCAAAAGAAGACCGGGATCTACTTCTGGTAAAACGCTTATCTACATACCGTCTGATAAGCCTTGGTTGTCGGAGTCATCTGAAGTCTGAACTCTTACTGTAGTAACTGTTGCTTTGATTGACAGAGAAAGCTTCAGAATGATGAAGACGAAGCAAACAAAAATATTCGTGGCTTCCGAGAGGTGATTGACTTGATTTCTGCTTCACAGAAGCCTATTGTCTCCCACAATTCCCTTAATGGTGCTTCTCAAATTAGTTTCTGATCTTTTTTATATGATGTTATGGTATTTTCCCTAAATGGTTTGGCATCTTATTCAAATGATATTGAATGCACAGATTTGACGTTCATTCATTCGAAGTTTCTTGGACCCTTGCCTCCTTCTATGAAGGAGTTCATGGAATCTTTGCACCACGTTTTCCTCCACGTCATAGATGTCAACCATCTAGTACAGGAAATTGGTCTCCCGAAGAGAGTAACAAGCATCCCTTACACCATCTCAAACTTGAACCATCGGTATCATGCACCAATTGATGTAGAAATTCCATTGCAAGGTTAGTTATCCTGCCAGTTATTTCTCATTTGTTTGTGCATACACAGTTAGATATACTAGCACACCTGTGAGCGTGGCAGGGAACATCGAAGTAGACCACAAATAGGTTGGCATGATAAACTGCTGTCGATGTATTCAATTTTGTTGGGATTGAGAATTCAAGCAAACCAAAAAAGTTGGGGTTAAATCAGATCGAGATCGTAAGTTAGTGGACCTTGTACTAAGTAGTAGTAATACTCAAAATACTAAAAATAAAATTTTGATTAAATGATATTGAAAATACATTAGTAATAGTACTTAATACCTTGAACACAACAATACACGACTTACAAGTATCTGTAAAAACCTCCTAATAACAGTTGATAGTTATCATTCTCAAGCATCTGTAACAACCTCCTAATAATGCGTCATTACTTCTCCACCATCTTTCTTTATTTCAGGTGCAGCGGTCGAAGAGGAAAGTCACGGGCATAACGTAGTGAGCATTAGTGAATTGTTTGCAAAGTTATGCTGCATACTGAAACTCACACCTGGTGTAGGAGAAGTACATGCTGAGAAAGGTACTTCTCCCCTTCAAGTATATGCAAACACTTTCAACCCACTTGTCAGTGGACCACAAGAAGAACCCACTGTCAGGGAAGAAATCAGGGTATGGACTAGCAGCAACACAAAGAAAGTGAGACGTGATGATTTGGTCTTCCTGTGGGGATTTAGGTGTGGTACAACAGCTGGAAACCTGAAGTGCCTTCTGGAAGGGTCTCATGAGGTTTTCTTGGACGAGTTCCACGTTCGATTAGTAGACAAGAGCTGTGCTATAGTTGTGTTTTGGAGACCCGGTTCGTCTGGAACCTTTCTGAATGCCATGACTCATAATCTATCAGATGCTTCTTCCAGCTCTTTGAGGGAGCTGGTTTCGGAGGGCGTAAGAGCAAGTGGGTATGAGACATATGACAGAGCTTGCAGGTCGGGGTTTTGGGAGCCCAGTTTGGCTGATTCACTAGACAAAGCAGCAGCAGCAGCCATGGCTGACATGGAGGTTTCTTCTGAGTCTGATCACCGGACAGAATTGTTGGACAGTTACCGGAAGAGTGAGTTGATGATCGACTTAGACGAGCTATAAATTGTTTTCTCGAGAAGAAGAGACTCATGCATCTTTAGTCCAGCCAAGAATTCATCCAATGCGTAGAGATAGAGAAGTGCACGACATTATCCAGAGAAGGGAATTCGTCTTGTTCATCTTGGTGGTGGCTTCGACTTCAAAAAGAGGACTCGAGTGAAGCATGTGTGAGATGCTCTGTACACTGTAGAGATGTACACTTTCTACTGCAATTCTGTTTTATTTCTTCGAGCCTCGCCACGTGATGGCATTTGATTTATTTATGATTTAATTTTAATTTTCCCGTTAATTTTGGTCTGGCTCTTTTATTCTTAAATAAACAACTGACCATTGTGTATGTTAAATTGTTAATCACTTTCGTTCATCTGGCTGTTAGCTCAGTCAGCACTGCTCATGCTCAAGTCTCCTCCCACGGTCCGTTCTTCTTCCCACTTCATTCAGCTAAACCGCTCCGCTGCCATCTGTTCATTTTTCAAACGCACTTTCCCATTTCCCTCCCAAACAAAAATGGCTTCTTCGGCGCTGTCGCTCCCCCGTTCGTGGACTTCTTCTTCTCCCCAATACCGCGATGTCGCTTCTCTTCCACGCTCCCACCGCGGTTCACTTACCTTCCCCAACGGCTATACAGAATCCGCCTTCTTCGGCTCCAAGCTCCCCGCCAAATCGCTTTCCTGGTCATCGGCGGCGCGTCGATGTGGCGGCGGGGCTCTCCGATTCGGCCCCGCCGCCTCTGCTTCTTTCCACACCTTCGACGTCGTCGTTATTGGCGCCGGAATCATCGGATTGACGATCGCTAGACAGCTCTTGACTAGCTCCGATCTCTCCGTCGCCGTCGTAGATAAGGCTGTTCCGTGCTCCGGTGCTACCGGCGCTGGTAATCACTTTCAGATTATTCGTCGTTTCTATTAATTCCTTCTTTTCGATTGATTTTCAACTGGGGTTTTTGGGTGGAATTGATTTTTCGAATCGTGTTTTGGACTCGGTTGGGGAATTCATTAGGGCAGGGCTACCTATGGAAGGTTCACCTTAAGCCTGAGGATCAAACGTGGGAGCTCATTACCAGAAGCCATCAACTATGGGAGACGTTTGCCGAGAGTGTGATTGATCAAGGCTTGAGTCCTGCCGATGAGCTCGGCTGGAAGAGGACTGGTAATTCCCACTAACTGTGTGTACCAACAGGAACTGCTGTTTTTGTTTCTCATTTCATTTGTGCCGCAGGAAGTTTGTTAGTTGGAAGAACTCCTGAAGAGTCAGAGATGCTGAAAAGGAAGGTGAAGCAGCTCTCTGAAGCTGGGATAAGAGCTCAGTACCTATCTAGTCAGGAGCTGAGTCTTGAGGAGCCTGAACTGGTGGTGGGGCAGGACGGTGGGGCGGCTTTCTTACCAGATGATTGTCAACTGGATGCTCATCGTACCACTTCTTATATCCAGAAGGTTTCTCTCATCGATTAGTATTCTGGTTAAAGATCGGTATGAATGTGAGTATAATCTTGTTCTGCATTTGTTGATGATGGATAGGCTAATAGAGAATATGCATCAGAAGGGAGATATGCTGAATTCTTTCATGAGCAAGTGACAGGCTTACTGAGGTCTGTTCTTATCCCATTTTACACTGCTCATCAACAAGGACGTCATGTTACAAGCATAGACCAGGATATGACTTTTAGTTTATTTTCAACTTCAATTTTTGTTTTTTCAGTTCTAGTGGAAGTAGAGAGTTCAAAGGTGTTCAGACTTCCAGCGGTACATTGATAAGTAAAAAGGCCATTATAGTTGCAGCTGGTTCTTGGACTGGCCCTTTGAGCCGTGAGCTATTTAAAGGATCTGATATTGCGTTAAATATCCCTATCAAGCCCAGGAAGGTAAGAGCTTAAGTTGGAAGAGATTTAGTTCCCCATTTCAAAACTGTCACTCAGCAGTCCCTTGATTTTGCAATAATCATAGTTTTGGGGGGCTGGTGTTACCTTTATTATTTGATTCCTTGCACCGTTATGAATGAATTGTAACTTTCTAAGTCAAAATAGCATTTTCTTTTTCCATTGTCGTTTGAGGTAAAACACTTGCTTTATGTCCAAGTTTGATATTGATCACAGGGACACTTGCTCGTGCTGGAGAACTTTGCTGATCTAAAGTTGAATCATGGCACGATGGAAGCTGGTTATGTTGGCCACCAAGATGCAGCTGCACAACATGAAAAGTCAGATATAGAATCACAGGATCATGAGAATTCATTGTTTGTGGCAATGGGAGCCACTATTGATGCGATGGGAAACCTTGTTCTTGGTAAATCCTTACCTTTCTAGCCTTACATTCTCCTTGATCCCTTTTAATTTCAGTACATTGTCAACTTGATGTGCTAGGATAGCGTAACTGCTTATTGCTAAGGTGAGAAACACTTTTTTGATGAAAGTATTGCAATTTCATACACTCGCTTTACTGGGATGATTAGAGGACTAGAACACCAATACTACTTTCTGGCTCTTATTTTGTCTGGAGAGGTGATTCTCCCTTGTGGTGTCACTCTGTCTGGCTGCGCCTTTTCTGATGTTATTGAACATTAGAAGCCCTATGATTTGTGTTTCTCCAGATTTGAATGAACCTCTCTCTGGGACGGTTATTTCAGTTAATTTATCTAGTTGAATAATATAACACAACACCATGTCTTGACAAGATTATTTACTGGAACTCCAGCTCCTTTCATTTCTGAGTATAGTTCCCACATTATAACGTTTCTGTTCAATGAGAACTTGTCAATATCTTTAGTCATGCTTCGGCCACTCTTATTTACGAAATGTTATCTGGGTGAGCAGGAAGCAGCCGCCAATTTGCTGGGTTCAACACTGAAGTGGAAGAGTCTGTTATAAATTGTATCTGGAATAGGGCTGGGGAGTTCTTTCCAAAGTTGGCTGAAAGACCCCTGAGAAATTTCACTGAGGACAGAAAAGTGAGAATAGGATTACGCCCTTACAGTAAGAACACTTACTTTACAACTGCCGAAGAATAAAATATTGCTTTTGAATTTATGAATTTTGGCTTGAGATGCTCCCTTATGAGATTGACCACAATATATTTGTTCCAGTGCCTGATGGGAAGCCAGTAATCGGGCCAGTGCCAGAAATGTCAAATGTCTTCATTGCTGCTGGGCATGAAGGTGGTGGACTTTCCATGGTAATGTTGTGGCCAGCCTTTTAATTCAAAATGTTTGGTCTGTTAAGTTCTTGAATATCCATTCGGATTGTTCCATGTTCTGTATCACTACTCATATTTGTCCTGAGATTCAATGGACACTTTGTTTGTCGATGTCAACAACTAGATGTTCAACAGCTAGATTAGTTAGATACTATGTTTATTATTGTGTTAGCCAGACTACATGAAACAATGTCCATGTCAGAAGTATCACTCGTAATCGATTGCCAATTGCAGGCTTTGGGCACTGCTGAACTGGTAGCTGACATGGTCATGGGCAAGACTGGAATTGTTGATTCTTCCATATATGCTGTCGGAGGACGATGTTGATAATATACTGTGTGCCAAATGTATACCAGTGAGTCCTAGCAGAACAGTTGATGGTATAAGTGTGTACCATTTGAAATACTACTGAGGTTTAAACCTTGAGTGATAACGAACTAAATTGTATCGTGGTAGTAAATCAGGATGTTTGGTCTGCCTTTTTATAAAATGTCTCCATTTCTATCTCTACCTGTCAGGCTGTTGGTTTGATGGTATTGTGTTTTGAGTTCCTGTAAACTGCAGATCCATAAAACTCCAAAGCATGTGACCCTGAATTGAGAACCGAGACGAGAGATTATTGGGATTGCAATTTTGAGTTCACAATGTTTGTTTCATTTAACTCTGATGTTAAATCATTTTTATGGTACCGCAAGTCATTGTCTCTAGTTGCAGGTATGTGCAACAAAGTTACTTAGAGCGATATGCTGTTAGGTATCCCTTCTGCACCGAGCCCCCCTCTGGCTCTGTTGTTAGATGTCCCTGGGTAAAGGAATTTGTATGGCAACTTTGCAGGTCCACATCTATTCTTCAACTCTGGATTTCTGTTTCTTTGAACTATTTTCTTCTCTATTTCTTGAAGAGCATCGTTGAATTTCTTGAACTTTTGCTTGACTTCCTTGTTGTCTGTCCAGTTTAGTGGCCTGCATCCCAGGTACACCTCATCTGATGTGTGGCGTGATAAAACCTCTGTTAATGCTATACCAAGTGTCATCTGAAATCTTCCTGGCAACATATCCACGTAAAATTTATCAGGATCTCTTAGGAACTCAGCAAATAAGGGTGTCCTTTCTCTTGGGATGAACCTTTGACATTGTACTGGCCTATTTGGAGGGTAACCGGCATATGCATGCTGCCCATAATTCACAGATGCATGAAGAGCAGATGCAATCCAAATGAGAGTTGTTAGAGTCTCTACGAGTTCAGATATGGTTGTCATGTTAAACCACCATTGCTCATGGGCCTTGTCACCGTGACCAATGTTTCGGATTTCTGACCACCATGCTTGAATTTCCATGTCATACCTAACAGAGTCGTCGTCTTTGTAGAAAACTGTGCAGAAGTCTGTTACCCACGTTTTGATAGCTTGCCATATTTCAAGTCCATCTGCACCATAGGGATAATCGGGGAAGAGCAGCTCGACCCCGCTTGGATGGGCAGGGTTTTGTAGGGCCAGTCGTCTGAAAAAATTAATGTCATAAGGTAAGGAGCACATTATTGTTATTTGCTCCAAATATTGTTAGCATAACTGCCCACACACACCAAATATTGGTCATCATAGCATAACTGCTTATAAACTTTTGTTTGATGAATTTTTTCCAAAGGTTATCATTCATGAGGTAAGGAGCACATTATTGTTATTTGCTCCAAATATTGGTAGCATAACTGCCCACATACACCAAATATTGGTCATCATAGCATATAACTGCTTATAAACTTTTGTTTGATCAATTTTTTCCAAAGGTTATCATTCATGAGAAGTAAATTTGCTCGAACGGTGGGAGAATTTGCCAAGGAAATCATGTTTGGTTAGTAATCTTGGCTCATTTGCCTTCTAACAAGTTTCATTTTCTTTTTCACCTTTGCAGATGGTGGACCTTCAAAACAATGAGAATGAAATTCTAGAATGTCTATTACTCTTTGAAAGAAGCTTTCCGACATGGCTCAATTAGAATAAATCACCTTTTCAGAAGATCAGCGGGGAGAGCTTGTTCATTGAATCTCCACTCTTTGTAAAGCTCAGAAGACAGCTCCATAGAAATTTCACCAGTAAATAGTGTTTGCTCGAGGATCCCACCTGCGTTTATTAGGAGATTTCGAGCTAATGCATTAATGTGCATGGTGTCTTTGAAATGTGGATGCAATAGGCGGTGGATGGGGTGCATAACACTCAACTGCCTTCGGGACGCAATGATGAATGGCTCAACAACTGCATGAGTGTGCAACCTAGGAAATGCGCATATCAGTATGAATAATGTGAAGTTGCTGAAGAAAATACAAGCTTACAATATAACTCTGTTGATTTATCTGAAGCTTGAGGTATCAAGGGATCATACTCTAGCACTATTATGGGGCATCGATGTGCCATCTGAATAATTACTGTCAGTACCTACAGTGATTCTGGAAAATTGAGGATTGATGCATGAAGAAGTAATTCAAACTTACCAATGACTGACTAGTTGGTGATGAGCTGAGTCATTGGCCGTAACATGAGCTTTAGCAAATTGCCAGAGTGCTGCTCCAGTGCCCTGACTGGCTGGAAGAAACACTCGGCTGCTGGTGGTCCTTCTGGAGAATCCAGGCAAGCTTAGTTCTATTACCAGCGGCTTTAGTGTGGCATTGCTTCTTAAGAATAATAAGGTTCTCGATGCATAAGCACAAACACCATTGGCATTTATTCTGCTCACAAAGGGCATGAGATAATCATGGTGATCCAAGATGAATATCCTCCACTGCTCCATTGCCTGTAGTGTGAACAAAATCCAGAATGAAGCTCGCTACTATGAGATATTTCAAGAAAGTTATGGGCTCCGATCATAGTATCTCCAGTTCTCTGAACAGGTATCTCCAGTTATCTTTCTTTGAAGACACCTATCTTTGAAACTTATTGCTCAATCAGTTTACTTTCTTTGTGTCTTATCCAGCAATTGTTTCTGAACTTGTCAAACTTGATTGTGAATTTCTAGTAATTCTATGTGAATATTCCCTAGACTTGTAAGCTATGTAGCTAGTACTAACTGGAAATCAAGGATGCTACCACTAGATGTGATTACTACCTGGATAAGACTCAAACCATCAAGGTTATTTTCAATGTCTGATGCCTTGATTGTGCTCACTGAGTGTTTTCCTTTTGGGGGGAATTCCTGAAAAATTTATCCAAATAAAAATGTAGCATTTGTTAGGCTATGGAATTGTAGTGATCACCAAGCAACTGAACCTTGAAACTAAAGGCTCATACGTTACTTTGGCAGCATTTTGCTCAGTACAATGTTTTATATCTGACGTACCCGTAACATGCTCTTTACTGTTTGTATTAGTTATGAGATATGGCGTACCTGTAAACATTGTATCCTTGTTGGATTTATCCCTGCAAGCATTTGTCGTGCAAACTCCATGTCGTCCATCCAGGCAATATCATTCTCTAAGATTGAGACGAAGGGGTAATTCTTAAGGATGAACGTCGCAACAAGCTGATGGAAATGTCTTGTTACCTGGGGTGGCTGTCTGGAAATTTTGCATTACCTGCTATGATCTGTGGTAGTGGAAATTTGGTGGTATCTTCTTTGCTTCTGTTTGTGACTTCTTTGAAAAGATCATAGGGTACTAATTTCTTCAGTTTCTCTGCAACTTTTTCCTCTACTGCTTGGCTTCTCTTGCCAGAGAACAACTCACGTAGGTCGTCAAACGACCTAAAGTCACTAGAGTCATCTCTTAACAAAGCTTTTGCTTCAGAGGCAAGAAAATGTACTGTAGCCTCGATGGAGTTTGAAAGGAAGGCTGAAAGTTTTGCAGGGCTAAACTGCTCATCTGAGGGCACGTATATGTCCAGTTTCATTGACTCGCCGCGGCTCTCAGCCAATGGATCTGCATTTATTTATATAACATGAATTAGAGAACATAAGTTCTTTTGGCTTCTTGCATCATACATCTTAGACTCAGCGGAAAGCTGAAATGTCAGAATGATCGAAAGTAAAAAGAAAAATAATCAATTAGGGTTTGATTTCTTTTTTTCTTCTTTTTCTTGTGTGGATACCTGCATTGCTAGAAGGCCGCCCTGTTCTACCCCTGCAAGGGTATGGATGCCATCTGGAACCACCTAAGATGGGCCTAGCATGTTGCCAGCCTTTGTCTGGATGACCTAAATCATTGTAAAAATCATAGTCATAGATCCTATCCCATTCCTTCCTCTCCCCAGTTCCATCTCCTCTCAAGCTCACAAGTTCTGACTTCCTCAACTCCACCAAAGCTGGAGGTGTTTGGTCTGGGAGGTAACTCTGCAAAGGAGCAGCAGCATCTGTTATTCATTATTATACATCCTTCTTGCTTAATGATGGAGTATTAAACTCAACTAGCTCTATTATTGTCAATTCGCTCTGGGGTTTATTGTTATCATTATTTATGAAGAGTAAAGGCTGGAAAGGGGTGGCCGAAGGGTTGTAGGGGAAGGTATAGCTTGCATTAGTTTCTAATAGTAGAGATAACTTTGGTGCGTTCTCACTTTTCAGTTTTAGGTGATATAGTTCCAGCCAGATCTACTTCATCAATGGGTATCCAGAGTCATGCTTAACTTGGCAGGCGGTGCATGAGCTACACACGTCTATCAATGATCTCCACGAGAGCGCTTGCCGTGCAGGAGAAGTTTTCTGATAAATTCCACTCGTTGCTTAGTTTGGACGGAACAGGCGCTAATAGGAATCTTTCATAGTTGGACTGAAGGCGGAAATTGCTAATGAAATCCACAAACATTGAAGGATATAATTAGGCTGGCTATGGTATGGATGCTCAGCTGTGGCGTACCACGCTGTAAGGAGATGCAGTGTCGTAGCAAGTGTGGTTTGTGCCTCCACCGCGTCCAACGCCCTATTGTTGATGATTGGCAAATTCGAACAAGGCGAAGACCACAATGGCCAGCCCCGGGCACAAGATTGATTTCAAAGGGGTGGAATCACTGGAATGGTGAGTGTTATTATCATTATTATTATTATCGAAGTTCAAACAATTGAATTGGTTTAGGATTCGGATTTGGAAAGCGTGAAGGGGATGCAGAAGGGTTTCCAGGGAGAGGGGTGGGTTGCATTAGTTTCACTGTTAGGGGGTTTCGGTGGTTAAGTTTGGTTATTCAGTGGAGTTCAGAAACTTAAACCTATTTTTGTTGTCTTCATCAGAATGTGTTCTTACTAACTCGTAAGTTAGCATCCATTTATCTCAGGTTCAGGTGATCAAGATACAGGTCTCCATCAGTTAGTGTAATATAATATGAATTTAGGAACAATTGTTCTAACTTACAGTGTTTGAGAAGAAAAGACGCTCTGATTTTGTCTTGTCCACAGGATATACCCAAGAGCTGCAGTCGAAATGAATATGCTGATTTGGAATTTCAACGGTAACAGACTCGAGAAAGAACTTATGCTTGTGACGGTTGGCAATGAGGAGTGCTCCTGGAGTTCCAAAATCTGCCTCCACCCACAACTTCATCTTGTATACTGTCGTTTTTACGCTGTCCTTCTTCTTGCTCTTTCCATGTCTCAGGTAAGCTCTTCGGCTCAACTTCCCTTCCCCTGTGCCTGTTGAGAGAGTCAAGAACTTTGCAAAATAGTTGCAAATCCGTAAGGATAAAAGAGAGACTAATTAACTAGTACATACTTGGATCAACTTTGGTGCTGCTGTAAAGTTGCACTGATGCTGATTTCCCAGGACCTGATTGCCCCTGGTTCTGGGTAATCACTACTTTCCCCTTAACACAATGCTTGATGCAACGACAAACACGCGAAACAGGTCGAGTTCTGCAACCAACTCTCCCGCAGCCTTGAGGGCTTGAATGAGAACCCTGGGTTTGTAACTCTTCCATGTTCTTCTCACCTTGTTGCCCCTCGTTTTTTTCAACGTTGTTTCTCACAGACTTTAGAACCTCTATCGTAGACCTCGACAAGCTGTCTCGTCTGTGTGACTGTGTTTTGTGGACTTGCTGCAGAGAAACAAACCATAATGTTCGTAGCTTGGGCTTTGGGGCAAACATCTGATTCATTGCTTGTTTGTGAGTGAGGCTTTACTTGCTCTCTACTCCTGTGTTAATGTTTCTACTTGAAGTTCCCATATCATGTGTCTTCCCCCTTGATATATAAGCTTCTAACTTTCGACATGTTTCTCTTCGTACTTGGGTCGAATTGATCGTGTAGTATTTGTTAAATGTTACCTCCGTGGCTTTTCTGTCGTGTTTTTTTTCGCTCCACCATCAGTGGCGTCAGGAACCAGGACAAGCTGTGGCAGAAAAGCTGAGGACATTGAGCCAGCTAGCTGGTTTCCTGGAAGAAAAGAAGCCTTGCGGCTGAAGCAAGTACCAATTATGTGAAATGATGAGTTTGCATCTTTTACCAAAATGCCTTTGATGATGAATGTACATTAAATACATTGAATAAAAGCTGAAACGTCTTATATTGAACAAATTTAAACAAAGAAAATGGAAAAGATCAACATAACCAAATCACTGATTTAGTAAATATCTTTCATAAATGGCACCAAGTTTCAAATTTCACCAAGTACCGAACTTAATATAATAATGTGTTGAAGTCCTCCTCTAGAGATCGTAGATCTTCATGACATACTATTGAATTCCTAAGTGTACTAATGTCCTCCTACAACTCTTGCATGGGCGCTAGAGGTCAGTCCTAATTCTAATTTCATCCTTCATATATACATGCAATGCTCATATCAAAAGATTCATTAACTTGAAAAGAGGTTTCCTATTATTTATCTTCAGAAGAAGTTATGCTATTACTTGTGTAATTTCCTGACTTACTTGAAAATTGGTGTTTTACGCATTTTATCTTGTAGTGGACCCTATTCTTTACTTAGCTAGCACAACGAGGTCACGTTGCATACATAAGCTCCTCATCTGTAAAAGGTAACATGATGTAACATATCTTAACATGACTACGTAGTATCTCAATTCTTCTCCTAACCAAAATATTTTCTAGCTCTCTTATCTATGCTCGTTGGGAAGTAGGCATGTCAAGCCCACTTTTCACGAGTGTGACATTGAAGATAATGCACGTGATCTCCAAATGATAAAATTAAGATCCTGAATCTCAAATTCAACCTAATTCACTTCTAATCGTGCTAAAGACTAGAAAATCAAAGCATAAAATTAAGCGTAGCCTAATATAGGTAAAATATGATAAACTTGATAAAAAAAACATCTAAGATATAATATATCAAATATGCATTAACTAGGTGCTATAAATTATCAATAAACATTTTAAGCTTAATAATTAATTAACTGCTAACCATTAGTTAACTACTAATCAAACCGATTAGCATCCTAGTGATACAACATGAGTGTTATCCCTATCTCCTCCCTTTCCAGCAAAAAATGGATGGGCCTGATAGCAACCTGCTCGTGGGCCGTGGCATTGGTCCTCTACTCTACCGTCCAGAAAACGGAGCCCAAAACGGACAGTTTAGACTTTAGAGTCTCTTCGCCAGGCTTAACATTTTGAGGAACTCTGCAAGGCTGCCACCATCATCGCCCTCGCCAAGAGAAAAATCGGCAAGACAGAAATGGCGACATCGACGCTTCGGAGGCTCTCCTCCCAAATCCACCGGCTCCCTTCCATCTCTCCCTTCACCAAATCCATCGTCGTCCGCTCCTCCACGACCTCCTCCGCGCCCCGCACCTCCTCCGCCAGAGTCTCCGACAGGATCGTCAAGCTCTTCGCGATCGACCCGGAGGGGCAGAAGCGCGAGATCGTGGGGCTCAGCGGGCAGACTCTGCTCAAAGCCCTGACCAACCATGGCCTGATCGACCCAGCTTCCCACCGCCTCGAGGAGATCGACGCCTGCTCCGCCGAGTGCGAGGTCAACATCGCCCAGGAGTGGCTCCAGAAGCTCCCTCCCAGATCCTACGACGAGGAGTACGTGCTGGAGAGGAACTCCAGGGCTAGGGTTGCCAACGTCCACTCCAGGTTGGGTTGCCAGGTCGTGATTACCCCTGAACTCCAAGGTATGGTTGTCGCCGTCCCTGAACCTAAGCCCTGGGACACTCCGTAAGGAAGGGAAAATTTTAGGGATTTTGGTTCTTTCCTTTGGTCAAGAAAATTGAAATGCTTAATAATGTGGGCACAATTTGATATCGTTTGTCGCGTTTGTTTTCATGTTGGTATATGTATTTGAGGTTGCCCTTCAATCCGGCACAACTTTGTTCAATTGGATTATGTATCTTCTGGTTTTTATTGCATTTCGCTTTGTTGGTGCTTTCGCTCTATAGTTGTATATTCTGCCTGGAGGGAACAGTGAGAGCTTGTTTGCAGAGATAGTTCTCGAGTGACTTTAGGAAGAACAACTGCTTGTGTCGAAGCTACTGAACTAGATATAACATTCCATTAGGAAATGTTAGGCTTAGGAGTTTTAAGTTCTAGGCTAATCCCCTTAATTATATCGTGAAAGTTTCTTTTCAATGTGAAAAGAAATTCCACGGGTTGCCCGCTTCTGTTTACGGGGCTGGGGAACTTGCAGCAGGATGCGAGTCATCCATCTGAGAGTGCTTGGGAGCTTTAGCTTACACGGGTTGCTATCCAACCATTTGTTCATTGTCCTGTCATGTGACCATATAGATTGTTTACATCGAGGCTTTAGTCTCTTATTAGCATTTTACATTTCATCTAACAATCAGATTTTACTGAATCTATCCAGGCTTTCTGACTTTGGCGCGTCTAATGCTTTTGCAAACTAGAAGTTTCTTAGACGTCTAACAAGAGTCCTGGCTATGCAAATGCAGACATTGTCGTCTGGGAATTTCATTAGTTTTTGCCTTTATGGTTGGTCCATTAAGAAGGATGTCGAGATGATTCGTTGTTTGAATCTCTTTCATGCTTCTGGGAGAGAAGCAATAACAGTCCGAGGCTTTAAAGGTGCTAGGGTTTACTTTACAGTGTTATGATCAATGATTTATATAGCTAAGTAGAAAGAGCAACTAGTTTACTTTATCCCAATATGAAGATCAAAATGCTAGTACTGTATGAGATCCAGTATCATGCTATTTAGCAGAGGGCAGGGAGCTGTGCAGCTTGAATTGCAGTAAAGTTGGGAGCTCATAGCTCATAACTCATAACCTATTTTACATTTGTCGATTAGATCAGTCCCTAGGGCAAAACCAGTTTCATGTGATTGTCCTTTTATGATACTGACTGGTTCTTGGATGAAAATGTTAGCAGAAACTGTGCATCCAGGTTACTCATTCTTTTTCTCTTTGATTCCTCTCGTTCGTGACATCAAGCCCGGGCGCTGCCTAGGTTTGGTTCTCCATGCATTTTTATCAGTCCTTTTTTCATCTCTTGATCCCATCGATCACTTGGAATAGGTTGGTTTGCCACTATGCAAAATTGGAACTTCTGTATAAACACCAAGCTGGCGATCAGTCCTATCTCAACTCCTGAGTCCCGACCCTCTTAAACTCATCCCTTTCTGTTTCCCATTTGCAGTTTTTATTTTTAGTTTTCTGGTCCTTCTCGGCCACTGGGGCGACCAAATGTTGAACTGGTGACTGCGTCCATCCTTGTATATCAAGCAAAGCTAGTGCTCTTTTGAATTTGACATCAGTACAAAAAAGTTTAACATACACGCAGCAGAGATCCTACGTTTCAAAGACCCAACCTATGCATTTTGAAGAAATACAGCAGAAATATTAAGTATATGCCTCACTGCCGAGATGAACTATTGCAGGCGCTTTGGTTGAGGCTGGGTTATTAAGACATCGGGTTAACTTGCAACTTGCAATGGATTAAGGGAAGCTCAACTTTTCAAATTTCAACTCTTTTGTACTCTGACGATAAACTTGGATGATAAGTATAGCGAGAGGAACTTATCTTAGAAGAGAGGAGAGGTGGCAGATGGATTGGTGGATCTATGGATCGAATGGTTTGATGGATTCATGGATTGGATCAAGTGGATTGGTGGATTATCCATGAATCCAAATGACATTCTTAACCTTAGATCAATATGCAAAATGTGAAAAGTTTAGGTACTAAAATGTCCTAATAAAAAAATTAGGCACCAAAATGTAATTGATATTTTTGTATGAAAAATTCAATTTTAGGTACCAAAATGTAAAAAATAAAAAGTACGGGTACTAAACTGTAATTTATTAATGATTCATGAATCCAATCCAATTGAATTTGGATCAAATGGATTGGATTTAAATGTATTGGATTTGTCAATTGAATTGGTGAATTAGAATGAGAATTGTCACCTCTAATAGACTTGTGCAATTGTCGAACCCCGTTGCATTTACACAAATTGTCTTATATTGCATACTAATTAGACCGCAACACATCTTTGATCGCAATCTAATCGATGCGGTCAAACCAAATCATATAAATAGCTAAAATCGCACTGCATTTTAGGCTGCATTCTAATATAGGCCATTTTATGCAATTGTTGGGTTGGCAAGGAGCTCGAATTTGCTTTCAACACTCATGACTAGGAGTGAGAAACTATGTGGTTCGGACCAAATCGAACCATATATACGTTCTGTAGTCCATGTCTAGATACTAAAACACATATCATGGACCATACATTATACTATATGGTCTAAATCAAACCACTCCTATATATGATGTGACTCGGTGGCTGGTACGGTCTCAACCAAGAAAACCATGTTCAAGAAACCTTCACCCTTCTCCACATCCCCGATATCCTTAAAAATAAAAGGTTTAGTGACCAATATCCCAGTGAATCGAAAATTTTAGTGACCCACGAAAATATATCAGGGGTGAAATTGACTTTTTTCTTTCTTTCTCACAATCTAGTCTCCACTACTCTATCTAGTATCCACTAAAAAAATACACGACAAATAGCTTTGTCTTCCTCATTTTCTTTGTACTACCACTTCTCTCCCTTTCCCAAGTGGTCTGAAAGATTCCCGCACTCGATCTCTTATCACTTCACTCATGAGAATTTCTCTGATCTCAACCAGACAAATAAATGTTGTTATGTATTTCTATATTATCGCCTCTGGAGTCTGGACAAGGCTACTAGAGAATATTCCCATCTTTTCATGTGGTTCTTTCATTGGGATATGACGCAAAAGGGATCATTTAATTAGTTTGTTAGTGTTAAGTTGGATGAAGTATCAATAGATTTGTTGTGCTTGTCATTAGATCACTCTTAAATAAGAGGAACAAACAAAAATCCGTAGACTTACGACAGAATCATGCCTACTGCGAAACAAAGAAATAAAGTCGAATTTCAAACAAATGAGGTAATAAGAACAGAGTCTTAGTGGCCACCAAATAAACCGCTCTCTAACAAACAAAAAAGTACAAACTATGACACCTGGAAAAACAACCCGAACAGCTCAACGCATGTTAATTTGGTTGCTACTTGCTAGTGACTCTTATTGGGGCAACTTTCTCCGTGCGTTTGGGCCCTTCCCTGCACTTGGCCCGCAGTTATCAAGGCCCAACAAAATATTTTAGCCGCCCAGGCCTGTGAAAACATGGCACCTCCTGTGGTCTCTGAAAAGAAAACCCTAATCCC